CAGGAACTGCACCCGACCGCGCACCAATCGAGAGTCCAGGATCCGGCTCACCTCATACTTCTCATGACCGTCAACCTGGATGGGACGGGGCCGAGGCAGGGAGGTAGTGAAGCGATTGCAGACCAGAGGCTTCAACAGGGATACATGGAAGACATTGGAGATCCGCATCCCAGGAGGAAGGGCAAATGCATAGGCCACCGGATTTACCTTGCGGAGGATACAAAAAGGGCCAACAAATCGGGGGGCCAGTTTGGGTGCGGGCACCTGAAGATTGAGGTTGCGAGTAGACAACCACACCCGATCGCCGACCTGGTATGAAGGAGCGGGCAGCCATCTGCGATCAGCCTGGAACTTCTGGCGCTGTGCTGAGTCCTTCAAGGACTTCTGGATCTGCCCCATGAAGAATGCAGGGCAGCAAGATGGTTCTCCACAGCCGGAATGTCCTGTGGTGAGAACAACTCAGGCAATACAGCGGGTTGGAACCCATAGTTGGCCATGAAGGGAGACATCCCGAAGGAGGAGTTGACAGCCGAGTTCCTCGCAAACTCTGCCCATGGCAGATCTTCCCCATGGAAGGTGAGCCGGAGCAGGGGCTGGCTAGGCCCGCTGCGTCCTCTCAGTGCAGTGCTGCGCCTATTATGGAAGACGCGGAAGTTGCGGCAAACACGGAAGATTCCGGGTCCCTCTCCCTTGGTCAGCAGCCTGCTGATTGGGGAACCAGGATGGAGGAGGCGGAAGCGGCTGGTGAGCTCAACTTTGTACCGGAAGTGGAGCAGGGACTAGACGTGCATCGCTTCCGGTTTACCTCTGAGTCGGAGGATGAAGAGGCGGATGTGACGTCATCCAAACTACCGAAGGCTATTGTGAAGGAGCGCGCGGTGTACGTCCGGCTTCAGCGCATCCCCAGCTCTGTGGAATGCGGCCTTCTGGCGAGAGCAGGGGAGCCACAGGTTGAAGACTGTGTGCAGGACTCTGCTAAGTCGGGTGTCAGCACGCCCGTGGACGTCGGGGGTGGTAAAGTATTGTGTGATGCTGTTGTGGCCCTCTCATGAGTCAGGGGGTTGGCGTATCTATCCACGCTACCCCTCCGGCTCCGGGCCCGCGAGGCACCGCCCCCTTTGGGGCTAAGGCTGCTCATGTTACACAGCCCATTGCTAAGAGTCCTCCAGCTGGCTCTAGGGATCCCTCGGGTCAAGCCCCGCTAAGCCCTTCCCTTAGTGGTCCGGGCCCCCGGCCTCAGGTCCCATCTGCTCACGTTTCACCAGGGGAGGCCCCTCTGAGTTCTGGTGCCCCCATTACAGTCCCCCCATTTGCAGGTCCTTCTGCTGTAGGTGGCCTGGTGGCCAAGCCTGCCATGAGCTATTCAGCGGCGGTGAGGGGAGGTCAGGAGCCAGCTAGACCATTCCAGGCATGTGCTGGGAACCTGCCCACCGCACGCAGAAATGTGGTCCAGCTCAAATGGACCGGGGAGGGCCCCCTTTTAAGTCGCAGAGAGGTCATAGATCGGGTCCTAGAGATGGGATTCCGGGCAGTGGACATCTTTGCTTTCATCGCCCCAGTGGGAACGGGCGAATATGATGTCTCTTTCATGAGGGCGGAGCTTCTTGACCTCTTCTGGCAAAGGTTTGAAGCCACCTATGTCCGTAGCCTCAGGTGGGTGGGCCTCACCCCCAAGCTTATCTCTCGCCAGAATGTAGTAAAGAAGGTTACAATCTTGGTCCGGAATGAGTCAGTCCCGGCCTCCGATATTGTCGTCTGGTTGGGGAGGTTTGGGGATGTTTTAGGGCCCCTGAGCAAAATTGTAGATGACAGGGGCATATGGACAGGTGGATGGACAACCACTGTCCACCTGAAAGTGGTGGGTAATGTGCTCCAGCACATCCCCTCCTCTGCTTTTTTGGGGAGGGATAGGCTCATTGTCTTCTACGCCGGTCAGCCGAGGGTGTGTCACAGGTGTGGGGGCAAGGGACACTTTGCTGCCTCATGTCCCGTCATCCGGTGTTCTCTCTGTCAGGAGATAGGTCACCTGGCGAGAGATTGCAACATCATCCGTTGCAACTTGTGCGGAGTCCTGGGGCATGCCTACAGCCAGTGTCCCGAGGCTCTCCGTAACTTGTCCGAGGGTGAGTTGGTGGCGGAGCAGGATAGGCTCGATGCGGAGGAGGTGGCAATACAGGCAGAGAAGACCAGCTTGGCCTCTGCAGCAGCCTCTGGAGGTGGAGGGGGGGTTCCTGAGGCCCCTTCTGCTTCTGTTGCCCCTTCTGTCTCTGTCCCCCCTGTTGAGTCTGCCCTTGTTGAGTCCTCTGTTGTTTCCCCTGCTGTGCCTGTCCCCCCCTCCTAGGAGAAGGAAGAAATTAGTGGAGGCTGCCCAAGGGGTTACATCTGGGCCTTCTGTGCCTGTTCCCCCAGTCCTTCTTCCATTGTGGAGGGGTCCTAAGAAAGTTCCCCGGGAATTCCAGGGTCCTGTCCAGGGTTGGCAGGTGGAGGTCCCAGTGGGGGAAGGGTGGTCAGTTGTGGGAAAATGGAATGAGGCAGTCCTTTCTACAGCAGGGTCAGTTTCCTCTCTGGAGGTGGGGGATCTGGCCCTGGACAACATGTTTGGGGCTCTGTCGGGGGAGGTCTCAAGTGACCCCGCTTCTCCGATGGAGGATGAGGAGGCGGAGGGGTCTCTAAAAAGGTTGAGGGACCCTGCCAAAAAGTCCAAGAGGAAGGTTAAGAAACGTCCCTCTCAATCTCTTTGATGGCAGTTCCCACTCCGTTAACGGTGGCAACTATTAATGTTGCCAGCGTAAGGTCTGTAAGTGCTAGAGAGACAGCCTTATTTTTGATCAGTGGTATGGATGCTGATATTTTCTTTTTGCAGGAGACCAGGTTGTCCAGCCTGGCGGATATACATCTGGCCAAGCGGGAGTGGAGGCGTGGGCCATCCTACTGGTCTCTTGCGGCTGAGCTTTACAGCGGAGTTGCGGTGCTTTTTACCAGTATGGTTACGTGCCGGCGGGTTATTGAGGTGGAGATTGGAAGATGTTTGATCTTGGATGTCCTTGTGAGGGGGCAGGAACTGCGCCTAATCAATATATATGGACCGCAGTCCAAGTGGGACAGGAAGTGCCTCTTCACAAGGATCAAGCCTTTCCTTTTTACGCCCTTTACCTTTTTAAAGATGGTGGTCTTTGGAGGTGACTTTAATACTGTAGCCCTGTTTTGGGGGGGTTATGTGAAATGACCCACACCAAACAAGCTATGGCGCTAACCTGTATATGAGTAGGCAATCCTGAGCCTTCGCTATATGGAAGAGGGGGTTGTGATAATACAAATGGCAGTGCCTCCACCTAGAATAGGGATCCTGCAATTGAGCAGACTCACCCCTTTCTAGGAATGTAACAGGTAGACAACTTAAAGTAACTATACATAGCAGTATTAATGCACCCAACTTATATATTTCTAACATGAAAACATGTCACCACACCTGTATGAGATTAATGCAAAGTTTATATAAAGCAGCCACATAAATCAGGATGCATAAGAATAACATTCAGGAATTACAATTTAGCATAAATTGGGAGGTTGCAATTATACCCGGGTATATGTGCATGTAGTATACAGAATACCTCCAACCATGGGTTATAGCGCAGTCCAGTTGCAGGGGCCCCTGGAGAGGTGAGAGTCCATAAGATGCACGCTTCCACTTTAGATGCTGTGATGGTGTCCAAGTAACATGCGGATGATTGCACTGCTTGTCTGAAGATCAGCGATGCATCACCTAAAAGGATAAAATGCTCTATCTATCCTCACTCTTAGTCCCTATCCCTAAACTGGGCTGTCACTGCAACCGGGCCTCTATCTGTCTAAGTGGCCGCCGAATGCCTAACCTACCTCTAGCCCAGTGGTTCTCAACCTTCCTAATGCCGTGACCCTTTAATACAGTTCCTCATGTTGTGGTGACCCCCAACCATAAAATTATTTACCCAGTAATTATAATTCATGAGTGACGTTTTCCCTCCAATACTGCTGCTTTCAGCACAGTAGCTGCTTTTAACAGAGTAGCTGCTTTCTACACAGTAGCTGCTCTTTACACATCGGAAATATGTGTTTTCTGATGGTCTTAGGGGACCCCTGTGAAAGGGTCGTTCGACCCCCAAAGGGGTCGCGACCCACAGGTTGAGAACCACTGCTCTAGCCTAATCTTATCCAACACTCCCTATGCTAATCCTAGCTAAAAGGAGATCCAGACCAATAAGGCTCTTCAAGCAAAGAGGCTGCAAAGATACACTGCAATTAATAGAAAGTTCACCTGACAGTCTTATGCAGGTGAAAACACTGATTTATATATATATTTAGACAATTATAAGGATTCTGCAGTGTGTAAATAGAATAATGATAATGAACCACAACTCTCTCTCTTACAGAGATATTAGGGTTCCTATACAGAAGTTGAAATATAAACAGAGGCAGACCTAATCTACTTCAGTAACAACTAAATAGATAGCAGCCTTGTTAATCTGGATCAGTACTCACAGAATTACCACACAGTTTTCCCCAGATACACAGCACATGGCAGGCTGGAACCCTCTGCCTGATACTTCCTGGAAAACAACTATATAACATCCTGGGGTTTCCTGACCTCCTTGTAGGGGCAGGAAGCACACCCAGGGACTTGTCTGTAATGGGACCTCTATGGTTGTGGCTGTATATGGATGTAAACAAACCACAACTAGTGTATAAAATAACAGTTCCCTACAATACCATAACTAGGCCCAAGGACAGGAGGGGCTCCAATGACAGGCTGGGGTTATGACAGCGTTTTTCTAAATGCCATAGTCAGGGAAGCAGGTCTGGTGGATGCCTTGGTTAAGAGCAGCCCAGACAGCACTGGTTTCACGTTTAGGAGAGGTAATAGTCAAAGTAGGATAGACAGGTGTTTTTTGAAGGACGACTCTGCCTTCTCGGCACCCGAGTGTCGGGCGGTGGAGTTTTCTGACCACCTTATGCTTCCTGTGACTTTGAATGTTTCAGACACGCCGCTGAGAGGGAAGGGCATCTGGAGGTTGAATTTGTCTCTGCTGGAGGACGAGGAGGTGATACAATCCTTCGAGGAGTTCTTTCAGGCTCAGGAGACTGTGCTGGATTTCTGCGACAGTAAGTTGGAGTGGTGGGAACTTACCAAAGTGCGGATTGGCAGGTTTTTCAAGGCCATAGGTAAAAGGAGGCAGTTTGATAAGTACATTGCCTACCAACGGTTTGTTTCTAGCGGTGGAGATTCTGGGGCAATCTCGGAGGCCAAGCTTTTCCTCAGGAAGTACCAGTATGACCGGCGTACCTCTTTGGTTCTGGAGAGGGATTATGGGAAGTACCACTCGCCTGACCCTTTCCAGAATTGCAAACAGAGTGCAGCAATTAAGACGGTCTCTGCCCTAAGGGATAGTACGGGGTCCCTGACAAGATCCAGGTCAGGGATCCTGGAGGTCTCTAGGTCCTTTTATGAGGACTTGCTGGGTGAGAAGTGCCTCGACCGGACAAGGATGTTGAGCTTTTTGGAGTCTACACCGGGTCTGGACGGTAATGTTCCTCCTGCGAATTTGACTGGGGAGATTACTGCAGAAGAGGTGGTCAAAGCCATCGATAGTCTGGCCATTTAAGAAGACTCCTGGGCCAGACGGCCTGACAGCTGAGTTTTTTAAGACCTTTAAGTCCAGCTTGGCGCCTCGCGGAGGTTTACGAATGCTGTCTGGGTGAGGGGTGCCTCCCTCCCTCCATGAGGCAGTCTGCAGTGATTCTCTTGTCAAAGGGTAAGGATCCCTCAAGCGGGATGTGACCTACTCATCCAGGCAGGAGGGTGGCCTAGGTATTGTTGTCTTATTATAATGAAGTCCACACAAAAACGGTTGTCTTCAAATCTGTTGTCTTATATCAATAATGGAGGACGTATGACCAGTGTATATTTATATATGTACTATTCCTGCAGCAACCAATAGTCCTTTTCCAGAGAGATGCATTTATTCGGATAAAGATATTTGTTACAGATGACAGAAATTCAGTTGAATATTTGTAAAGATTACAATGCACAACAGCTCTCAAAGTCCCATTTAAGATACTTCATATCAAGCATAGAGATACTACACCATCCAGCATATGTCCAATCTATAATATGCAACTAGGTAGCTTCCATGCAACCTGTGTTCTGTCCCACATATCCTGACCTATGCTCTGCTATCTTTGTATTCTCCCTTATGCTCTGCCCAGGTATCCTCACTTGTGGTCTGCTATCTTTGTATTCCTCCTTATGCTCTGCCCAGGTATCCTCACTTGTGCTCTGCTATCTTTGTATTCTCATCCTGTGTCCTGTGTCCTGTGTTAAAATACACATTTTCCCCATTCAGTACAATGGCAAGCACTCTGGCCACTTTTATTAGCTTGTTTGATCTTATGTGTCTAATAGCTGTGTGCATAGCATGAATATTTAAGACTTTTCGCAATCTATTTGCAACTAACCTGCTCTTAAACTTTCCCTGACTCTCCATATATTTACCCAAAACAGGTTAACCCAACACAACAAAGGGAAGGTAATTACCTCCTGCATACATTAACATAGTAAGGAGTCCTTTTGGTGTGTAAAGTGGTCTTCTCACTGGCCTGTCAGTATGTGTTTCAATGTCTTCAATATATATATTACACACAATATACTACATATTCCCCCACTTGAATCTGTTTTTTACTCAAAGACGATTCACAAATAGTGCACATATAATCAACTAGCAGGGTTGTATTGTGATCTGAGGTATTGAATGCTTCATAATGGCTCATATAAAATATAAAATTGAAACTGGTTACATCTCTCTTCACCAGCCTCTAAAATATCCCAGTTATTCAATAATTTGACTGGAGTGATAACTTTCACTCACCCCTCTTATAATTTTAAAAAAAGCCTCCCAAAGTAATATATTTTTAATTTGTTCTGCACAGTCTGAGCATCAGTGTGAAAATACTCAGACATCCCATAAGTTATGCAATGTTATTTTGTAGCATCTCACCTCATTACTTACTATATATATATATATATATATATATATATATATATATATATATATACAAAGAGATGGTTTTAAAATGATTATCAGGTTTAAATGCCTCTCTCTGGTTTTAAAACAAAGATAATGAAAATAAGGAAATAGAGAAAAAAAATGATCTTGATAAGTCCATTAGTTTAAAGTCTTTGTAATTCGTGCAAGTTGGTATCAACCCAACATAGCTTTTCATGGCATCCTGTTCTTCACTTGCAAATGAGCATTTCCAGTCACAGGTCTCCAACATCTGAAAGACAAAAACTTCTCAAAAGTTCATTAGCTCAGTCCTTTAAACATTGTGTTTGAAGATAAAACAATGTACTATTTGCAAGATAATTCACCCCCACTGCCATAGAGGTCTAATTTGCAACCTTTAGAAAAGAAAAAAAAAAACAATGGATGCAAACTGGGAGTTTAACCAGCAACTGCTTTTCAGGTGGCTAAAACTATAACCACTACAAAAACAATTTGGAATTTATTTCCCACCTGACTTTAAAAAAAACTAAATCATGAAGGCTTGTCCTTGGAAACACAAAAATATGCCAAGGTCCTCCATTAATATTCCAAATACTGAGGTCAAATTTCTGAGAGCAGTAGCTAAATCTTAATGCATGCCAAAGAACTTTAATTGGAAAAACTCATACAAACTGTCTATGGACTATCAACAAAATGGTTGTTCATCCCAGTGTAGTATCTTTGTGTAAATGAAGACACCTCCATTTTCAGCTCTTTCAGTTGCTCCATAAACTGAAGTCTTTCTTGCTTTAGCTGACTATTCTCAGATTGTAACCTTGTTATTTGGGTTTTAAAAGAGACTTGGTTTTGTCTACTATAGCCTACATGCCTGGGAGAGTTGCCCCACCTTGCAGAGTAAACTTCTTTACATCTTGGTAGAGTTTTGGGGTACCGAGAGTTCCTTTGCTTACCACTATTACCATTAATACAATATTGTGCAATGTGCCCCAACTTTTTACAAGCAAAACATCTCAGAACTGGCTTCCCTAAATAAGCCCTTTTCTGAGCACATGAGGACTGAGACACATCACAATGGCTGGAGTCCTGAGACTTCACACTCTCATTGTCTGACGAATATTCACCCACAACAGACTCACCTGATGTGGTCATTGCTATTGTATTACCATTATGCTCAGATTGATTCTCTATTTCCAAGCCTGAGTCAGTCTCAACAGCTACTACAAAACAATTGTCTAAACACCCATCATAGACCTTACTTGAAGCAACAATAACACTCTGCTTCTTTAGAGACATTATCTCTGCTAAACATTGAGAATGGTCAACCTTTGCACGTTCAGTATATATCTTCCGTATAGCACACTGGGCATTCTCCAAACATTCTTTAACAAATGTAATCTCATTGCGTAATTTTGTATTTTCATTAGTAATATGCTTACTGTCTGCATTAAATAAAGCAGCCTGCTGGGCAAGAAATTTGACATGTTCAATTTCAGCTTTTAAAAACTCCACCTCAGTTTTTAATTTTTGCTTCTGTTGAAAAACAGATTTGTATTGCTCTGCTATCCAGCTAGCAGCAGAAATGAGTACATACTTAGCCTTATGCTTATTTAGCTTTTTGCTACAAAGATTTTCATCCACCCATTTTTGTGCTTGCAACCATGGGTCAGCAGATCCTTGTATAGCATGAACAATAGCCTCAGTGTCCTTTACTTGTGCCATCTTTTGCAAAATTCCCTCTATTACTGAGATAGACAAGTACTCTATACTTAGCACAAAAAGCAAAATGAATGCAACCAAACAGTGCTGTTTGTTGCACAATACACTTTAACATCCAATACAAAAAGAAAATGTATACTCTAAACAAAAGTAAGGATTATCCATAGAACAATTAAAAAACAAAAACACCCATCTATTAATAAGGAACAAGGTACACTCACCAACTGCTTTGGCTCCTAGACTTATGATCTTCTCCAGATTCTTCTTGGGTCCTCACGTTCTTCTGTCACCTCATAGGATCATTGGATTCTCATAGAATTCTTCTGGTACACAGCACAGTCCTTTCTTTGGTTTTCCAGCCTCCAGATAATAATTCTGGGTTTCAATTTGTGAATCAGACCCCTTAAGTCCCCACCATTCTTTTGAGTCTTCTGGATCCACCTCACAGGATCATTGGATTCAATTTGTAAATCAGACCCCTTAAGTCACCACCAGGCTTTTGAGTCTTCTGGATCCACCTCCCAGGATCATTGGATTCTCATAGAATTCTTCTTCAATTTGTGGGTCAGACTCTTAAATCACAACCAGATTTTAGAGTCACAGCACAGCTTCAAGGTCTAACTCACAGAACTGTTGTCATCACCGACTTCTGTTACTGAATCTGAAAATGCTCTTCTGGTCACTTGGACGGCACCAATGTTGTCTTATTATAATGAAGTCCACACAAAAACGGTTCATAAGACAAATCTGTTGTCTTATATCAATAATGGAGGATGTATGACCAGTGTATATTTATATATGTACTATTCCCACAGCAACCAATAGTCCTTTTCCAGAGAGATGCATTTATTCGGATAAAGATATTTGTTACAGATGACGGAAATTCAGTTGAATATTTGTAAAGATTACAACGAACAACAGCTCTCAAAGTCCCATTTAAGATACTTCATATCAAGCATAGAGATACTACACCATCCAGCATATGTTAAATCTATAATATGCAACTAGGTAGCTTCCATGCAACCTGTGTTCTGTCCCACATATCCTGACCTATGCTCTGCTATCTTTGTATTCTCCCTTATGCTCTGCCCAGGTATCCTCACTTGTGCTCTGCTATCTTTGTATTCTCATCCTGTGTCCTGTGTTAATATACACATTTTCCCCATTCAGTAAAATGGCAAGCACTCTGGCCACTTTTATTAGCTTGTTTGTTTATTTGTTTCTTATTATAATGAAGACAACTGTGCTTTTCCGGAGAGAGACATCCAGCCAGAATAAATCCAGATGAATAGTTGTGAATATTACAATGAACAACAGCTCTCAGAGTCCCATTCAAGATACTTCACATCAAGCATGGAGATCCTACACCGTCCAGCATATGTCCGATCTATAATATGCAACTAGGTAGCTTCCATGCAACCTGTGTTCTGTCACACGTATCCT